GGTGAAAAACTGACTTTGAAAACTAAATCTGTTCTTTTTTTCTTATAAAAGGCTAAATAAAACAAAAATATTGGTGGTAATTTTTGACTGTGTAACTACAAACGGCACCTCATACAATAACATAAATATTTGGTGTAAATCCTAATTTTGTGTCATTTTAAAAAGAAACCTCAAATATTGAGATTTCCCAGCTGGAAAGAAACAAAAGCTTTGACATCTTACAAGAAAAATYTCAACATTTTAAGGCATTTTTCCACAAAATCAGGTTTTTTTTGTTGCTAAGCCTAAAAAAATGGTTCAAAAATATTTTTTCGGATAATATTTCAGACAGTTCGTTGAAATGATGCATTGATGACACATACTTTGACAAAATGTAATTTTTGCAAGCGTTTTAATCAAAACACTATATCTGCCCATTCCTCCACATACAAGKTTTAGTCTGGATCCTGGTTTCGATGTGACGGCTCACATTTAGAGAAACGTGCGAGAGGAGGCGTCGGGCTCACCTGTCTGCTGCAGCCAGTGCTGCAGGGGTTCAGTCACATCAAAGGACAGCCATTTTTCTTTCATCGAGTTGGTGATGAAGCGGGAGGCGTGGTACCGAGGCGAGCCTCCGGAGCTGTAGTACAGCTCCACCCGCTGCTCCTCCCGTACCCGCGTGTTCTTGATGAGCATCCGCAGCTCGGCGCTCGTCAGCAGGGCCGCGTCCCCCACGCTGCGCCGCACCTCCGACATGTTGAAGAACATGATTTTGGAGCTGTCTGTGAGATTTGTGGCTGTGTGGTTAAAACAAACAAACAAACAAACAAACAAACAGGTTAAATAGTTTATAGAGGCAAATAAAAACATCACCAATAAAACCTGGGTTGTGTGTTTTTGTCTTCGACGGTGAGACTGCTGAGTCATCATTCACACTGTGGGTTTCCTGTTTTTTATTATTCTTTTAGTCTAAGTGCTTCAGCACGCTCTGTTATTTTAAATGTTTATCAAATAGTTTTGATTTATAGTTTTTGTTATCCACATTCAGAACAGGTGACGTCGGTGACAGTTTTATTTTATAAAACATTCAAAGATCTGAATACAGAATTAGAAACGTGGTTCATCAGTCTAACTCTAGCCAAGTGTTTGTTCTTACGAAGGTATTTTGTGCCGTATGTTGTGAAATGTCAGGATGTGCCATCTCGTGATGTTTAGCATGATCTCACATCATTTATTAACAGAGGTTCTGAGCACAGAAGTTGCGTCTCAGTCTCAGCTACTACACCAAACTTCAGCTCAGAGTCTCTGAAACTGTCTGACTTAGAGGCACTTTCTTTGTTTGGATCCCGTGAGGTGCAGTGGTGGAGGGGAGGGGGTCCGGTTTGGGAATCTTTGGGTTTTAACTCTGTTTTATGTGGATGATGTTGGCATATTTGGGCCATGACCTCAGCTCACAGCTGAGTGTCAGCTCCTCTAAGGCCAGGATTCTCTATTGGAAACAGGTGGAGTTGTTCCTCCATGTCAGGAGGACTTCAGGGATCTGGACGTGTTGTTCCTGGCTGAAGGTAGCACGGAGCAGGAGGTGGATCCAAGGATAGGGGTCTCTTAAACAGGGCACTGCTTCGATTGGTTGTGGTGAAGAAAGAGGTGAGTCTAAAGAAATAACTCTGGATTTACTGGTCTACGGTCCAACCCTCACCTGTGGTCATGGAGTTCGGATCATGACGGAACCAGATCCTGGATACAAGCAGCTGAAACGATCTTCCTGCTTCTACAAAACATAAGTTTTGGGTGGATTCTTCTTTAATGAAACGTTTTGACTCCACCAAGAGACTTCAGTCTGAGGAGTTTCAGGTGAACTCAGCCATATGAGCTGGCCTGTAGATGAGTGTAAACTGTAGAGTCCTGGCCTGTAGATGACTGTAGACTGCAGAGTCCTGGCCTGTAGATGAGTGTAAACTGTAGAGTCCTGGCCTGTAGATGACTGTAGACTGCAGAGTCCTGGCCTGTAGATGACTGTAGACTGTAGAGTCCTGGCCTGTAGATGACTGTAGACTGTAGAATTCTGGCCTGATTATGTTGATCTTCTGTGTTGGCTCATTCTTTTCACCAGTGGCTGGTTTCTGTCCCTGATTTATGGTCAACCAATCTTCCTGCTCAGCCTTAGAAATACGGTGAGGAGCTCAGAGTAGAGCTGCTGCTCCTCTGCATCAAAAGGAGTAAGTTGAGGTGGTTCCTCCAGAAAACCTCCTTCTTTTCTGGACATGTCCCACTGGGAGGAGACCTGGGTCAGTCCCAGAACTTTCTGGGGGGATTATATATCTTCTCTGGTCTGGGTACACCCTGGATTCTCCAGGAGAAGCTGGAGAGTGTCTCTGAGGAGAGGGACGTCTGGGTTTCTGTTGGCTAAAGGACCTGACTACAAAAAAGCAATAGAAGCTGTGGCGGCCATCTTGAACAGGGCTGTCAATAATTATTTTCCTAAAGTTTCATTAAAATTTGTTAAACGGTACACAGAAACACTCTGCTTTCGCCTTCAGGTGAAATATATTCAGTTTTTAAACTTGGCCTGAATGTTTTTTTTTACATGTATTTCCATCACATCTTTTAAATTCTCCTTCCCTTCAACAAATGTTTTTTCTCAGAATTCTGCCATCAGTTAAACAGAATAGCTGAGTTCAGAGTGTTACTCAATAATCGTGCCCCGAGCCAAACATTTATCTGTCCCAGCTGCTGTAAAGTTGACCACAGAGAGAGTTTTGTTCTCTCGTAGCTGCTGCTGCTGCCCATAAACACAACTGTAATCCCTGAGTTTTCCTATAACATGACAGCGGGAACACTCTCCCAACGGAGCCTGAGGAAAAACAGAGCGAAGCTACCGGAGGATCTAACAACATAAATCCTCCAGTTTCATACAGTTTATACCAAAAGATAAAGCAAAGCTGAGGCGTGCACAGATAAGCAGATGATTGAGAGGGAGTGTGCAGAAACAAAGTTTGAGGCCGTTGAACGGGGGAGGAGGTGTTGTAAACGTAAAGAAAACAGAATGCAGAGTTGTTAAGGGTGTGAGTGGAAGTGTGGTGAAATTGATGTGTATCAATGGAGCGCAATGCCTGGCAAAGGCTCAAATCCTGCGCTCTGCCTGAGCCTGCCGAAGCCAGGATTCTCTGCTCCCAAGCCCGGGAATTACTTTTGACGGGCGCCCAACCCAGCCTTGCATACTTGTGCTGCACACTGGGTCCAGGCCGTACCAGGACCCCCCCACGTCACGTTTATCCGTACCATCGTTCAGATGATCCAGGCAGCATTTTCAGCTGCTGCAGAGAGGCCAAACTGAAACCGAAAAAAAAGAAGGGCTGATGTGCAGCGCAACAGGAAATGAGATTTTGACATTTTGCTGGTCCCACCCAGAGCTGGGTTGAATGTTTGGTTAAGAGCGCATGCATGGAAACACTGAGCATCAAAACATCAATGGTAGAAGCAAAAGACGAGCAAACGCGTAAAGCTTTTATCAGCAAGTAATTTAAGTTGAACAGATAAAAGTTTGTGGAACAGGAAGTAAAGTCACTTATTGGCTGCAGGACCATCGTTACTTTCTAATGAACACAGCTTGCATTGGGCACAAAACTGAAGGTTTTATGCAATAAAAATGTAATAATGTGCTTAAATAAAGCACTTCTCCAGAAATAGCATCCTGGATTTGGGTGTGGAGGGGAGGATTTGTGTCTGGGAGCAGGGCCTATCCACAGGTAAGCCGGGGACAGCTGTTGTGACAGGTAAGGAGACAGCTCTGTAATTATCAGTGGGAGGAAACAGATTCCTCCTTTCCACTCGGCCCCACCTTCGCACTGGCTCAGCCACGTCTCGCTTCCACACCRACGGACCCCTAACGTTAGAAAAATAACACGTCCTCCCGAGCGGTGGACTAATTTATAAATGAACAACGGTTGGTTTTTCCAGAGCAGAGAAACGGCGTGCTGTTATTAAACGAGTTAAACTGAAACCCAGCGATGTGGGAGAGGTGAATTTGTGTGGTCTTCGGGGGGAGGGATGTGGCTGAAAGAATTTAGCCTAATCCACCAGACAATTACCACAATGGAGACTTAAACTATTAAAGTTTAAAATGCTCTGCACACAAGTATGCATCCCCGTGGGCTGTTTTTTTTTTTTTTTTTTGTGTGTGAAGAGTTTCAGGAAAGAATGAGTCGTCAAATGAAATGATGAATAGGATTTTTAATGAAAAAATATTTCAGTTGCTTCCTTTGTGTTGTTTACAACATAACTCCCATTAAAGGAATCGCTCATCATCCGCTGCATTTCAGTTTGAATTCAAGATGGCCGCCACAGTCACATCCCTCAAAGATGCGTTGATGCTTGGAGTTTGTGTTGAGGACGACTCTCGGCTAAGAACACAAAAACTTTACCTTTTTTTGTAATTATGAGTGAGTTGTACTACTGATCATAACTCTGGTTTTATGCGGCCGATCAACTCGTTTTAAAAACTGGTGTGTGGTTTGAAGTCTCTACTTTTGACCCAAATTGAAACAAAGTCTCAGAGAAGGTGTGTCTTTCCATCTACAGCGATTAAACGGGATGTGTTAATATACCATTATAATTTTTAAATACCTTCACCCTTGAATACYGAGGTGTACCACAGTACTATCCAAGCCTAGTGGCGGCCATCTTGAATTGGGTTGTCTTCAAATGTTTTTCACTTGTAGATGTACGAAATTTTCCTAAAATTCACAAGATGAGTCATTGTTTTAAAGGGGACATATCTGAAAAATCTCTTTTTAAACTATTAAATACATTTTGTTGTGATCTTGGAGTCTCTCTTGGTGCCTCAAAGATATCTTCAGATTCTGTTTGGGTCTGATTTTTCATTCTGTTCAGTTTTCTGTGTTTTTATGATCTTTTGGGAACTTTTACATCAAATTATCTGTGACAGAATTACCATGTAAAGTCTGGACTTAAGACAACAATTTCCTTGTCTTAATTCTCTTCTAGTTCTGGATCAGACTCTGGTTCTGGGTCAGACTCTGGTTCTGGATCAGACTCTGGTTCTGGGTCAGACTCCAAACATGTAAGKTTGGATGGACAAGTCTGCTGTTGTTGGCGTATTTTAATTAAATTGTAAATAAAGCATTAATGTGCTGCTGGAAATCCTAACCCCCTCTCTCAAATTCGAGTGGACCGGTCTGGAAGCAGGAGGGGGGCGGGGCTTGAAGCATCTTAAAGGAACAGTAAGAAAACGAGCTGCTTTGAGACACAGTAGAAAAGTGTTGAAAGAKGAACTGGTAAAGTTAGAATAAGGAGGAAATCAAAGCAAAACTTTGTAGTTGCACCTTATAAAGASCCATCTGAAGGATTTAAATGTAAAAAGGAAAGACGTAAAAGCATCGTATGTTTACTTTAAACAAATATATGTCACAGAGTGTGTAGAACTTGAAGTAGGGGTTAGCCCATTTATTGCTTCTTCAAACCGAGTACAAGTACTTACATTTGAGTACTTGTCGACTACTGACCTTGTGGTCATGATTATGTGTTCGGAATGACTCTCAGCTACTACCACACCAAATTTGAGCTCAATATCTGTAAAATCTGCTTGTTTTATTTATTTATTTTTTGCACTGGTTAATGTCGATGAGCTGTGGCGGCCATCTTGACTCCAACAGTTGATCGAAGGTTTAGTTTCCTTCAGCCCGTCTCTGGACAGATATTTTGCAGCGATCAGTATTGTGAAAGAGCTCGTGATAAATACATTCCTTCGGTGCGCAGAGGTCGCCTCTGTTTTTAGAACTGGACAAAGATAGCGAAGGGGTGTTCTCTGGCATTCCACGGAGCTCGGAAACACACGCTCCCCACGGGCACCGCTCGAACCGGACCTGAGTCACTCAACATCTCTGCGGCCATCAGCCTGCCTTCCTTCCTGCCGAGCTGCCCTGCCACAAACACGCTGCAAACACACTGATAATAAGCTCAGGAAGCCCCGCGGAGAGAGGACTCGGGAGGCCGGGGAAGGACGGAAAAAGAAAATGGAGACAAGTTAATCATTTTTAAAGAGATGGGGGGAATCAAGTGGAAAATGCTCCAGGAGAGAAAGAGAGAGATCTGATGGAGAGCGAGTGACAGATGAGTAGGGGAGAACCCAGAGCCTCGAGTCACAGAGAGGAAAATCCCACAAAACAAAACCAAAAGAGAGAAAACGAGGGCGAGCGAGCAACGTTTATGTAAATCCTCTTATTTTCATTTTCCTCTGTCGCCCTGTTCCTTTGTTCTCATCTGAGCARAAAAAAAAACCTTCCCTTCATTTTAAAAGGTGCTTTGTTCTGTCCGTCTACCTGCAGCCTCTCTTTTGATGTGGTGGATAAAAGGTGTGTGTCTGCCTGATAAAGTGAGGAGGGCAGGTATTTAYAAAGGTGCACAGAAACAAAACGTTTAAAACCGTTTTGAACAAGCAGCATCTGGTGTCAGTGAACTGCTAATAAAGTTGTTAAAACCTCTGGGAAGGTGATGTGAGTGGTTTAAACTTGTAACTCCTGTCATCTCTGATCTCTGGACGATGCCTGAAGATGTTGAAGGGAGATCAGAAGACGTACACGTGTTGAAGGAATTTATAGATGAGCTTAGCTTTGGGGCGAATCCTGATTAATGGAAGCTGCCAAGTTGGTTTGAAATGTGTTTCTACTTTTTTGTATTTGCTACAACGTCCACCTTTTTTTTTAAACGAGGCAACATCTGGAGAATTATTTGTAATAAAGTGAAAAATATCCAGAATATTAGCTTCTCGTTGTGGTCGAGGGTTGAGCAACAAGTGCCTGGAAATGTGGGAGCATAAATCAGCGTCACACAGTTATGTGAGTTTCTTACAGCCATCGTTTGGCCCTCTGTAATTATCCTCATTTGTGAAAATGAGCGAGGCTTCAGCAGAGCTCGTGATTTAAACGCTGTTCCTCTGAATTGTTTGCACTTACTGGTCATGTTGAACTTGTTCAGAACCTTGGCGAAGTACTCCTCCTCCTCCTGCTCGGGGGAGATGGTGCTCTGGACCTCGATCTGTTGCTCCTTCAGCATGTCCTTGGTGCTGTTGTAGAGCGACAGCAGAGAGGTGGGGATCTCCTCCTTGTCTCCGGTCTCATTTGCTTCAGGTGCTTTTGGCAGGCGAAGCTTGCTGAGGATCTGGCTCCTGATGGCCTCGATGCGCTTCTGCCGAACTATCTCTTGGTCCAGAGTCTTACACGTGGACATACCGCTCATCGTGTCCAGCATCTGCGCGGCCACCAGCAGCACAAACCCAAACCTCATGGCCACAGCTTTCACTCTAAGGTCCATTCTGACTCTCGGGGAGTTCTCGCTTCCCTTTTTCTTTCCCTGCCTGCCTCCAGCCGGGGATGCTTGGGGAGCCGGTGAATCACTCCGTGGAGAGGTGTGACTGACGCAAGGTGTTTGCACACAACACAACAATTACAGCAGTGTGGAGAGTCCAGAAAACTCACAACGACAGGCRCCACAGTTGTCGTGAAAACCGCCCGACTCCTGTCCTGTTTGCGTWGAAGCAGGCAGAGACTACCCAAACTCAGGAGAACACCAACGTCCAACACTGTGAAGTCAGTCCAGAAGAAAGCTGCAGAATCCCCGCAGAGCTAATTCACYGTCCACCAACGTTGTTACAACATTCACACAGTCCTTCTCAGCCACAAGCCTCCACCTGCAACTTTAAAGCAAGCCCGTCTTACTCAGAGCCCGTTTATACGCCTCCACGTGTCCGCTCAGCCCTGGATCAGACCACCAGTCTCTCATTACACCTCCCCGGAGGCGACCAGAACAAACGTGAGCAGAACCGGAGTCCAATCAGCAAAATGATAACTGGTGTTGGCAGAAAMCCAAACCACTTACTTTCTACGCCCGAGGCCGTCAACCTGTCGCTGCTTCCTGTCCCCGCTGACCCAAACGTACCACCAGAGACCATTCAGGRCTGCTCTGGACAGGTCAAACTGTTGATTGGAGATATGCGAGATGAGGAGAAGACGAAGAAGGAATTAAAAATACACCTACACGCCGACGGTTAAGCTAGTGACAAACATGCTCTGCTTTCAGCTTTCACTACCTCTTTTCTACAGAGAATATGGTGATCTCTTTCAACACGTCCTGGTCGTTCCACCAGCTGCCTCTCTATCCGTCTCAAACATGGTAACAACAGGATATCTGTCTGTGTGCCGAGGCTATGATACGATGAGGCTAAAACAAGCCTGATAGCAGACGTTTAAAGGTCCAGTTCTCAAGGGAACTCTGTCCTTGTTGGGGGAAAAGTTATTAGAAGTCAGACACACCTCTTTACACCAGAGTACCATCCAGACTCACGTCTGTCCTCCTTCTCTTCTATCCATCCATGGGTTTCACCTCTTTCCTGCCTTCACACCTTCTCCCCTGGCGTCTCCTCTGACACAGCTCCCTGCCTGCAACCTTTTCCTGCTGCTTGGCTTTCCCCTGCTGCCTGCCACAGCTTGCTGCTCACAGAGTGATCTGTGGGGAGCTCTGAGCTCAGATAACCCTCTCTCTCTCTCTCTCTCCTCTAACTCTGTTTTTCTTGTTCCTGTTCGCCGTCTAATAGAGCGAGAAGCTCTCCGCCCAGGAAATGAAAATAACGGCCGCAGGGCTGAACGCGAGCAGACTTTACCCGGGCAGACTCTGCCTGCAGAGACACTGCTGCCCCCTCGACAAGCCTCCAGAGGGTCTTACCGACCCGCCGCCACTTTTACCTGGYGGCTGCGAAGGTGTCACCCTGCCAGGTCCGGGCAGGGAGCCACCTGAGACGAGCCAGGCTAAAAATAGTCAGTGTGAACTTCGTGGGATGGAGATCCGGCAGGGCAGGGCCGTGTGGTGGACCGTCCTGCGTCTGGGTGCCTTTTAGAGGTTGGATTGTGTATTTTCACAAAAAAATAAAAAGGAGACGAGACTAAAACAAACCAGCGAGGGTTTCAGTCATTACAACTCTGTCTGAAGGATGAATCAACAGAGAAGACAGAAACCTACCAACAGTTTGTTTTTTTCCCTAAAACTCTTCTCACGGTTGTTGATTGTTATTTAAAAACAATATGCTGTTCATTAAAGAGGCACATGTAATATGAGGAAACAGTTCCTTCATGAAGGAAACTGAAAGCTCAGAAATCCCCGAAAACCCAGCAGACATCAGCGTTAATTCTAGGAAGGAAGTTACGATCTATAAAGTCAGCCCATTATCTGATTATTTGATTGATAAGGTAAGAAGACAGCTGCATGAAAGCACAACCAGCTGTGAGCCTAAATAACTGAGTTTTAGTGATCACACGCTGCCCTCTGGTGGGCAGAAATGATTCAGGACCCTCGGTCTACCAGGGCCTCGGTGGTCAGGGCTGTGGTCTCACAACTCTGAGGCCGTGTGTTCGAGCCCAGGCTGAGTCAAGAAGGACATCAATTACAGATGACATGAAAGATAAAGACAACAGTGAGGAGGAAATGGATCAAAAATAAACAAAAATATTTAAAAATAATTCTTTTCTGAGCGATGAAGGAGCTGAAATAAGAACACTTAGTRAAACGTAAAATGTAGCCAAACACTAGTACAAAAAGATAAAATTAGAATAACAGATGCCAAATGGCTACTAATACCTAAAACAGCATAAGAATAAAAAATGGAGAAGGTCGTAGTTTTATGGAGATTTTTTGGGGTCATTAGTTTTGTTCAAAAGAAAAATATTTTGAAACTGAAAATTATTTAGAAACTGAAAAATACAGATTTGAAACTCTCTCTCTCTCTATATATATATATATATATATAT